GAAATCATAGGATTAACAAATGTTAAGGCCTGGTGGGAGGTGGGGATCTTCAAATTGTTTCTTTGTTTTTGTTTTGTTTTGTTTTGTTTTTGAGACAGAGTCTTGCTGTCACCAGGCTGGAGTGCAGTAGCGTGATCTCAGCTCACTGCAACCTCTGCCTCCTGGGTTCAAGCAATTCTCCTGCCTCAGCCTCCTGAGTAGCTGGGATTACAGGCGCACACCACCACACCCAGCTAATTTTCGTATTTTTAGTAGAGACAGGGTTTCCCCATGTTGGTCAGGGTGGTCTCGAATTTCCGACCTCAGGTGATCTACCCGCCTTGGCCTCCCAAAGTACTGGGATAACAGGCTTGAGCCACTGTGCCTAGCCGGTTGTTTGCTTTTTATGTGAACCTTAGTTTGACTTCCTGAGTCAGAGATTGGGATCTGAAACCCTTCACAAATCTAGCTCTGTCATAAGTTAGTACTTCATATGGCCTTTTTCTAAGAGCCTGAGATTTCTTTACAATATGAATAATTTACAGAAAATTTGAGAATTTGTCAAGGTCAGAAACCATGGCCTTATTAGAGCCTAGGATAAAAATCTGTATCTCTCACTTCATTTTATTATTTGAGTTGTACCATGTTACTTGTGGAATAGAAAAGTGGGTTTTCCTTTAGAGGGGATTAGTGAACTAGAAAAACTTGTACCTAAGTGAGGCTCACGTGGACTTTCCTTTTCCCCTCAGCTGAAGAGACTTGCTTCGACAAGTACACTGGGAACACTTACCGAGTGGGTGACACTTATGAGCGTCCTAAAGACTCCATGATCTGGGACTGTACCTGCATCGGGGCTGGGCGAGGGAGAATAAGCTGCACCATAGCAAGTAAGGAAGACATTGTGTAAAATGACGCCAAAATACCAAATATGAATGTCTCTGTTACCATCACTGTCACTTTCTGTTATCCATGACTGGATATTCCTAACTTTGGGATTTGGCCCTGGTGACCAGGTACTCTTAAGTGGTCACCCAACTGGTTCCTGTGTTTCTTAAAGACGGGTATGAGCACAGATGGAGTCAGTGTTTGATGTGTGTGCATTTATGAGTGTGTGTGCATTTATGAGTGTGTGTGCATTTATGAGTGTGTGTGTTTGTGTACATAGTAGAACCAAGAGACCTCTTGGGTTCCATTTCAGTAAGACATGCTTAGGGGAGTTGCCCATTTTAAATCACCTGGACATCTTCAAGCTAGACAAATCATGAGACTTTTCTGCCGTAACTGGGAAGGTGTTCATGAAGAGTGAACAAGCCATGTGTTGTGTGATCTTCTTGTTTGCAATGCAGAGACCTCTTACACTTCACAGAAACAGTCTGGTTTCTTGGTGACCAGTAGGTTGTACCCAGGAAGCAGATGTCCCTATTCCAAGGGATAATACTAAATTATTAACCCAATCGTGTTTGCTAAGAAACTTTGGGAACCGGGTTGATTCTCATCAACTCCAGTTTAGCTAAGGCACTCTTTCCCGTATGATTCACTGAGTTACCAATAGATTCTATTAACATAGTATTTAAGTTTTTAGATCCATTCTTTAAATGTAAGTCATCTTAAAGGCTTCTATTCAAAAGAGTTCCGTGTGAATAGGCCCAGTCAAGTTACCCCATACTTCATGTTAGGCTTTATCCAACTTTACAGGCAAATCGCAAGAGGCAAGGGTCCATAGTGTTTAGTCTAGTTCAGCATTTGAATGTGCCATTGGACTTAACACCTTAGAAAACTACCAGGATTTCCACACTTTATATGTATGTGTCTGTTTGCTTTCCCCCAAAATGACATTTCTATCCTAGGGTAAAATACAGGCTCTCCATGCTCCTAAAACCTGGAGTGCTATGCCTTCTGTGGCCTTTTCACTGAATTAGTCTCAGTCTTAGCTTGCTGTATGTGAGTGAAGACCAAGCCTCCCAGGCTTTCTTTTCTGCTTAGGACCCAATTTCCTGTGATCTGTCTGGGAAAGCAGGATTTTTGACCTCTTCCTTGCCATCCAGATTTCTCTGTAGTTTTCCATTGTGTTCTAAACAAGACACTTAATTGAATTGACTCCAAGTGACCAGACCTGTTAATGTTTCCCCTGTCTCTGATGGGAAAGCTGTTGTCTGTGTCTCTACTTTAGCCAACCTAAGTACCTACCATGGGTGGAACATGAGACCAAAAAAAAGAGAAAAATTGGTTCTGCCTTCTCCTAACATTTGTGTTGTATCTTCAACAGACCGCTGCCATGAAGGGGGTCAGTCCTACAAGATTGGTGACACCTGGAGGAGACCACACGAGACTGGTGGTTACATGTTAGAGTGTGTGTGTCTTGGTAATGGAAAAGGAGAATGGACCTGCAAGCCCATAGGTGTGTGAGTCTCAGGGCTGAGCCAGAGCTGGGATGCTTAGTTCTAATGTGGGGTTAGACCAGAATCACATCTACGTAGGTCATAGACCTGAATTCCAATGAAAACCAATAAAGAAATGGGAATTTTATTTGAAATAATGAATTATTATATAATCCATAGTCTTCTTACAGGAATCAGATCAAAAAGTACTGACTGCACATAGAAGTCTTAACTTTGCTTCAAAAGCATAGAGATTTAGAATGAAGTCATTTCTTTTACCTAATAGCTGATCCCAGATTTCTCTTTGGTCAAGATATAATTTATTTAAAAGAAAACAAATGACACTTTGGACACATTTCTATATGGAATGTCCTGAACTGAAACATGAAATAGTGTGTGCTTGTCACACTCTGGTCATTTCTTTTCAAATTAAAACTTGTTGAGTTTCTTTGGGTCTCAGTCCTCAGTTGAATTCTGTAAGTATAAGCCTGAAAGTTTCTGGCTATAAATTTTACTCTGTTTATTTATCTTCTAATTTAGAGATTCTTGTCTTGTTTTGTATTGTTTTGCTTTCCAACATTTTAAAGTAGCTTTTTTTTTTGTCATTGTATTTAGGCCACTCAAAATTCATAATTGGTCATTTGTAATTGGAATTTTGCATATGTAGTCTCCCACAGACTAGTTATACACATAAATCCTTGCTACTGGAAATGCTGGTGGGAAGTTTGGGGCTCTCTGAAAATATGTAGTCCATGTACTTATTAGGAGAATGGAATTTCTGCCTGCCAACTCAGCTGGAGCTTTCTTTTGCCTTGGCTACTTACTGTGTGCTTAGATGCTGGGTGTGTCATTCTTTCTGAACAGAGTGCCACTTAAAAAAAATGTGGCTGAATTTTTGCTTACACACTACACTTTAAATTACAGGGAGCTTGCACAATTCAAAATAACCATTTTTTTTCCTGTTTTTCTTCCAAATTTCCCTACAGCTGAGAAATGTTTTGATCATGCTGCTGGGACTTCCTATGTGGTTGGAGAAACCTGGGAGAAGCCCTACCAAGGCTGGATGATGGTAGATTGTACTTGCCTGGGAGAAGGCAGCGGACGCATCACTTGCACCTCTAGAAGTATGTTTTACATCCTTATGTTAAAGTCCAGGTATTGTTTTCTGGACTCCTAGAGAGACGGGTAATACTATGTCACTTAGAACCTATCCAGTATACCAGCATGCTTTGGTAACTTCTGGATGTCAAGAAAACTTTCATAACCAACTTACTCTGCATCTTCAGAGAAGACTACATAAATAGAAAAACATACCACTTCAATAAGGTTCAATCTCAGCTCACTGCCACTGACAAAGAGTTGAACAAAAGGTTTAGGTTTCCTTCTATGTTTGAAATTTAAATAAGGCACATTCATAGGCTAAATTGATAAAATTAAAAAGAATTTATCCCCATACATTAAATGATCTACTCTGGAGTTAAGGATAGTATCTCTGACCCAACGCATTTTATTAGTGCTATAAAGAAACTGGGCCCTGGCATCTTTACTGCTCCTTCTAAGATTGTCTTGGGGTCTTAATTGTTGCCTTTGGGTTTCAAGGCTCCTTTTTTGATATTTTACACTAATAACAACTAGAGAGTTTGTTGAAGTAAAACAGCCATTAACTGCTGGTGGTGTAAATAAGTTTAAAATCAAATCCAAATAATTTGAACCTATTTTATTTATCTGGCTGAAAACATTTAACTATCTTAACATAGCCATCATCCAAATTCAAATTCTTTGCTAACAAAAAATAGGTCTCTCATGAAAAATGGTAACAATTTTGACCAAAACTTTCCCAGAAACTTGCTGGTTTATTAGCTATTTTGCATTTAAAATGTTACTGTGATCATCAGACTTCCGGGATCTTTGTGGCAATATTTTAGCTTAAGACAAATTAGATGTCTGACTCAAACCTTATCTATTATTTAGAACTCTTTAAATAGCAAGTTGGGAAAAGTTTCGGAAAGAGAAGTCATTTATTCCAGAAAATTTTATAAGCACTTACTTTGTTCAAGGTGTTATAGGAGTGCAGATATGAACTGAACATTAGCTCAGCCTTCGAAGAGCACTTGGGTCAGGGAGATGAGAAAGTCTTACACATATTTATCATCTGCAAAACACAATATTAAAAGTTTCAACAGAACTACTGAAAGTAGTACTATGGAGGTTCAGGGGATGATAATACTTTTAGCAGGGGAGTTGGGAAAAAGCTCTAATCAGTAATTATACCTTCACGCAAACTTCTGTTCTTGTGGGAGATGAATGTGTGTATTTGTTTGAACCTACATCGACTGTTAATTTTTTGTGTCTAACCCAGTAGTTGCAACAATATCTGATTCACAAAGAAATCAGATCCTCTATACTCACATCATGGTACAGAGCAAATCTGGATTATAATTTAAATAATCTATTTACCAGATAAATGAACACATAGACTAATGGTCATTTAGTTACAAATTATCATTTTATGTTGATCCCACTCTTCCATTGGAGGGCTAACACTGAATAATTTGGGGCTATTTTGCTAGTGATTTTTAAATACTGTAGGTGTTGGAGTATAGGGGAGGGGAAAATAACATTTTAGTAAAAGAAATTGTGCATCCTCTAAATTTTTTACATAACAAATGAAGAAAGAGATACTACCATCTTTTTATAGCTTCTTTGTAGCCATTGGTGAAGACCCTTTAAGACCTGCTTGCCTCCCCATTGTTTTAAGTTTTTTTTGTTTGCTTATTTGTTTGTTTGTTTGTTTGTTTTGAGACAGAGTCTCGCCCTGTCGCCCAGGCTGGAGGGCAGTGGCGTGATCTCGGCTCATTGCAACCTCCACCTCCTGGGTTCAAGCGATTCTCCTGCCTCAGCTTCCCGCATAGTTGGGATTACAGGGGCCCGCCACTATACCCGGCTAATTTTTTTTGTATTTTTAGTAGAGACGGGGGTTTCACCATGTTGCCCAGGCTGGTCTCGAACTCCTGACTGCAAATGATCCACCCTCCTAAAGTACTAGGATTGCAGGCATGAGCCACAGCACTCAGCCTGTTTATAGTTTTCTAAAGCAAGTTCCCTATTGAAAGGCAGGCCATCCCAGCACTTTGGGAGGCCGAGACAGGCGGATCACGAGGTCAGGAGATCGAGACCATCCTGGCTAACACGGTGAAACGCCGTCTCTTTTAAAAAACACAAAAAACTAGCCGGGCGAGGTGGTGGGCGCCTGTAGTCCCAGCTACTCGGGAGGCTGAAGCAGGAGAATGGCCTAAACCCAGGAGGCGAAGCTTGCAGAGAGCTGAGATCCAGCCACTGCAACCCAGCCTGGGTGACAGAGCAAGACTCCGTCTCAAAAAAAAAAAAAAAAAAAAAGGCAGGCCATAGACAGTGATGACTAGGAAAAGTCCTGGAAAAGCCTGAGAAGGAAAAAGATGAAATATAATGCCAGAGAATGAAGTTAGCCAAAGGAACGGTGTGAAAACAATGAATGAATGAATGAACGAATGAATGAATGAATATGTTATTTGACAGAGAGATGAAACTAGACTAAACCATTCAGCTCCCTTTCCATTGTAACAAATATAATTTCATCTTTGAGAAGTGTAATACCTTGCAGCACTAGAGCTGAATATGAACCTATTAGCAAAAATAGATTACCAGGCATAGATAGCATTCCTTTTTTAAGTTTGAACTGACCACTTGCCACTCTTGACCTGATATATGTATTTATGTGCTTCCTTTGTGACACAGATAGATGCAACGATCAGGACACAAGGACGTCCTATAGAATTGGAGACACCTGGAGCAAGAAGGATAATCGAGGAAACCTGCTCCAGTGCATCTGCACAGGCAACGGCCGAGGAGAGTGGAAGTGTGAGAGGCACACCACTGTGCAGACCACATCGAGCGGTGAGGCAGAGGACGAGCAGGGGCGGGAAATGGGGAAGCAGGTCAAGAAATATTTCCACAAATCCGTCTTTCCTTTGACATGCCATTTGAGGATAATTTGCAGGGTTTCCGTGAATAACCTAAGATCATTTAACACATTATGGGTTGTTAAAACTTTTTTTAATGTCAGGTTTTAACTTTTTGAGAAATAAATGAAAATGACGCAAATAAATCTTAGGGGAAAAAAAGCCAGATTTATCTCCAAAAGATAAAACTGAGTTTTAAAGAATCCTATCATCATAAAATCTACCATGGATAGATCACACACACACACACACACGCGCGCACGCACACGTATTTTGAATATCCAAAGTTCATTTGAAAGGAAATGAGAGTTATAATTAATTATATGACTACTTGGTTCTTCCCTAGGAAAGAACAAAAAAAGTACATTTGGGTTTTCTGTTGTTTTTTGTTTGTTTGTTTGTTTGTTTTTGAATGAAATATACTTCCCTGTTCCGACATTGAGCTCTTTTTGTAGTGGAAACCATCCTTCATATGTGGTTTCTATGCTCTGGCAAACTTTGTTACATTTTATAAAGTAATGCACAATCATTTTCTTCATGTATTGGCATTTGAAATTTTAGAAATTCAGAGAGGACCTGGAGATGGCCATGAAAGACATGATATCCAAGCACTCTTTTTAAAAAAACAAGTTTTAATCATTTTTGGCATAAGAACAAGATTTTTACATCATAAATGTTTCATAAAAATCTGAAGAGAGAAATATGGCCAACACGAATGTGCACTCCTCTCATTATTTTTAATACGTTTTGATCAACTTTTTACTATATGATGTGCCAGTATCGTTATATAGTGTCTCAGCCATCCTTCAGTTAAAAATATTAATTGTTCTAATTTTTCTTCTTTTGATGAGTTTTTGTCTTGCTTTGGGCACTTACGAAGGTGAACAAGATTAGATTTGATATCTTTGAGTTATTTGATTATCATTAATAAAATTGCTACTGACCCAAAAAAGTTATAAATGTCAATCTACCAAAATAGATTAAAAGAGTAGGTGGGAATTAAATGGGGATAAATACTCAGTAAATGTTAGCTATTTTTATGAATATTGCCAATACTGAAAAGACTCCATTGTTCAAAAAAGTTTGAAAAGCACTGGGTTAAACAAAATGGAACCTGCTCTGCAGAATTTGTATGTTCCTTTACATCATACTCTCCATGGTGGCTTGTAGGGGATGGGCGCCATGTCTCCCTAGTACGTTTGACCTTGGGATTCTTTGCCTGTGAACATCTTTGGGTTCTAGTGTTCAGCAGCACTTAGGGAGGCACTGAATTCAGTGTACCTTTGGTCTAGCATCAACCCTGATTCTGTTCTGCGGTGGGCCCTGGCCTCCAAGAGAACAGATATCTAAAAGTTGAAAGAAAAGATCGACACATCCTGTTGTATTGTTCTGAAAGGAAAGCTGTCTTAAGAGGATCGATTGGTTTTAGAAAAAGCACAACAGAATCGCAATAATACTGAGGAGAAATAAAATGTGGAAGGTGGAGGTGTCCTCCAGAGAATCCAGGACAGCTGCCGAAGGCACCCTCTAATGAGCTCAGTTGCACAGAAAAGCGAGGAGATGTTCAAGGTATCTGCTGTATGGAGTGGCAGGATGATGTCTGTGATTTAGAAATATAATCCTGGCCAGGTGTGGTGGCTCATGCCTATAATCCCAGCACTTTGGAAGGCCGAGGCGGGTGGATCACCTGAGGTCAGGAGTTCGAGACCAACCTGGCCAACATGGCAAAACCCCATCTCTACTAAAAATACAAAAAAAGGTCAGATGGGCATGATGGAATGTGCCTGTAATTCCAGCTACTCAGGAGGCTGAGGCAGGAGAATCGCTTAAACCCAGGAGGCAGAGGTTGCAGTGAGCCGAGATCACGCCACTGCACTCTAGCCTAGGCAACAGAGTGAGACTCCATCTCAAAAATAACCCCACAAAACAAAAAACAAACAAACAGAAATATAATCCCAGTAGCCCCAATTGAGCTGGAGGATGGAGACCACTTGGTAGACACTTGTGGATTATTTCCTAGACTAAATACAAAAGCAACTGCTGAATAAGGGACATTTTTTTTTCCCAGTCCCAGGCCAGTAACGACATGGATTTCAGAGTGATCTCTGTGAGATCCTAAAGATCCTGACTGTAGAAAGTAGTGAATTGTCTTCTCTCACCCAGTTTCATGACCTTCCCTTCTCATGCCGTTAGGATCTGGCCCCTTCACCGATGTTCGTGAAGCTGTTTACCAACCGCAGCCTCACCCCCAGCCTGCCCCCTATGGCCACTGTGTCACAGACAGTGGTGTGGTCTACTCTGTGGGGATGCAGTGGCTGAAGACACAAGGAAATAAGCAAATGCTTTGCATGTGCCTGGGCAATGGAGTCAGCTGCCAAGAGACAGGTATGCATTATCTTTTTGAAGAATAGGACTGATGACTTTATTATTTAGTTTTTGAAGGACAATACATTCATTCAATGTGAAACAATAAAACAAACAAGAGAAGCTTGTAATCTTTACCACCCTGTGATAACAATCAGGGTTGGCATTTGAAACATTTTCTTCCAACCTTTTTAATTTATGTATTTTCTTTCTGGCGATGGGCATCATGGGTAAAGATTGTATTATCTTTATTTGTCTAAAGTGTTGTTACAAGAGAGCTGCTTTCTGAATGACCATCAAAATTTTATATTCTAAATCTCAATTTTCAGCAACTTTGTGATGTAAACATCTTCCAATAACCTAATATATGTATTCTGGGCTACAAATGTGGTAGTAACTATGGCAATAAAAATTGGTACACAATTCTCCCCCAGAATAGCCTTATATATTAATTTTTATGGCATAGATATAGCCATAAATATTATCCCAACATCCTTAAGAAGCATCCTTAATTGACCTGTATAAATGTAGCTTTACAAATAGAGAAACTGAGGCATGGCAGCAGAAGTGGTCATGAAGGATATCAGCAGAAGAACTCAGGTGTCATTCTATCCACAGTAGACGTGGATTCCTGAGTAATGCATTTAGACTGAAATTAACGATGATCATCTGTACTCATACCTTCTTCCTTTGAGGGCACAAGCTCAGTATCTCATTGAAGCCATAAATAAGCAGCTGCTAGTGGGAGATAAAGCATCTCTGTTTACTGACACTCCTTTGATTATGATTGTAGCTGTAACCCAGACTTATGGTGGCAACTCAAATGGAGAGCCATGTGTCTTACCATTCACCTACAACGGCAGGACATTCTACTCCTGCACCACAGAAGGGCGACAGGACGGACATCTTTGGTGCAGCACAACTTCGAATTATGAGCAGGACCAGAAATATTCTTTCTGCACAGACCATACTGGTGAGTGTCCCAAGGGGGAGCCACAGAAGTGAAAAAAAAAAAACTCACTTGCATGCCCTATTTTTATTTGCCAGCATTCTAGCCATTTATTTTGAGGCTGCCCAAGGAGCATCGCTTTTGTTAAGCTTGGACTCAAGAGATAACGGAGCTCACATAACAGCTGAGGATTCTTCTGCCTTCCCCAGTACTGTTGGGAAATGACACCAAGGGAATAGCCTTCCAGTTCATTTGATTTAACACATTGGGATTATGATGTGATTAAAGATACTTGTATTTTGGAATCAGTAGATGATCCCACAGAGCTGAGGAATACACAGGATGAATATTTTAATGCCTTAGCTTATTTTCCAGTTAAAACAATGTTTTATTCAAAGCTATCATTTAATCTTTTGTGGGGGGTGCTGGGGAAATGACAGTGAAAATGGGATTTAAATCTGTTTTGAAGGTGAAGGTAAACATTATAAGAAGCTTAGAACTATATTATCAGATATTTTTTATTCTGAAATAGACTCTCTGAGAATTAGCTGCAGAAACTTGGTTCTCTCAGACCAGTAATTCTGTGTACATTGGAAAGCTCAGCGGTAATCTTTTCCTTCCTTGTTGTGTATTGTTCCTGGCAGTTTTGGTTCAGACTCGAGGAGGAAATTCCAATGGTGCCTTGTGCCACTTCCCCTTCCTATACAACAACCACAATTACACTGATTGCACTTCTGAGGGCAGAAGGGACAACATGAAGTGGTGTGGGACCACACAGAACTATGATGCCGACCAGAAGTTTGGATTCTGCCCCATGGCTGGTAAGATGAAGCCCTTGTGGGTTGTCTTGTTTGACAACTATTTAGGGAATAGAGACTAAAGACTAGTGTCCAGTTTACTCCTATTTCATTCATTAAGACAATTTTGAGACAACAGAAAACTTCATGTGAAATGTGTGCGTGTGTGTGTGTGTATGTGTGTGATGTTACATCATATACATAAGGATTGGGAAGAATAATTAGATAATTATTTATATAATTTTTAAACCTCATTGACATGATTTAATGTCAAAAGTATAATTACTTATTTCTAAGTCTGGAAATATGAATTTACACAGGTTTGTCTTTGTAAAGAGCACACAACTGAGTAGCTTACAACATTTAATATATATATGATGGCTTTAGTCACAGAGCTACAACATTGACACATGGTTGTGGTTTGATGGCATAAGCTCTAGCACTTATTAAAGAGTGCCAAAGTGACTAAAACTCAGTGTTTTCTAACAGGTAGGGAATCTTGCTTTTTTTTTTTAAGGTTTCCAGTTTGTATAGATGGCGAACAAATGGAAACCAATATCTTTTACTTGTTTTCAGATTTCAAGAACCCCATAGATTCCCCTTGATTTTCCAGTTGTAGAACCAAGAGCTTGTGCAGTAGGCACTGTCAAGAGTGACTATGAGACAAAGAAACTGCTTACACTTTTATTTCTTTATTTCAACAAAAGAAAATGTTGAGTTTAGAAGAAAAAACCACTTTTGCTTGAAATTCTATATCCAAACACATAGTTTTTATTTGATCTAGAATAAATTGGAACTGGGAAAAGTTATGAAGCAGTAGTTAAATCCAGGTTTCTAGAACAGCATGAACCCTTTGTGTGAATGTGTAGGTATTATCTTAGTTTAACATCCCCTAACCCTTCCTGTAACTATTTTCTATGACATACGTCATGTTTGGACTACGTTTTCTGCCTCCAGGGCTCAAAAATTCTACCCCTTCACCTGACAGGACTTAGATTTCTTGGATGCACACAAAGCTTCTTCCCCAGTGAGAATTCTTGGGATGACCAAACTGAACGGATCCTATTGCACACATACCTGTTTAGACCTTGTGATCATTTATCAAGTGCTTTTCTCATCCATTTCCAAACAGCCCATGAGGAAATCTGCACAACCAATGAAGGGGTCATGTACCGCATTGGAGATCAGTGGGATAAGCAGCATGACATGGGCCACATGATGAGGTGCACGTGTGTTGGGAACGGTCGTGGGGAATGGACATGCATTGCCTACTCACAGCTTCGAGGTACGCTGGCTGATTAATGAAAACATTTGAGATGGCAAAAGGTACAGAGAGGGAGACATTTTTTTAATGAAAACTTGCACTTTGCCACAAGCAGGGGAAGAAATACTCAATGCCACTTCATTCATTAGTCTACCATGCTTGGTAAGATAAGCCTTTCAGGCAGCCTGCTAAGACAAGCTGGCATAGCCATGCTAACGTTCTGAAACATTCCTAGGATGTAAGTACTTAGGCTGAGCCAAAAAGATGACTTCAAAAGTAAGAATGAAACATTTGATCCATTCAGCTTTAGGCTATGCCACTGGATTCATGTCTAGAAAAGATAGGATAATTTCTGTAAAGAAATGAAGACCTTGTTATTCTAAAATCAGATCCTTGCAGATCTAAATTTCAGGAAACAAATACATAGGGGGACTAACTTTCCTTGTTCAGATTAGTTTTTCTCCTTTGCACCCAGCTGTATAATATGAGGAAGTATTGACTTATTTAAAGTGTTTTAGTTTTCCATTTCTTTGATTTGAAAAGTAATAGTTAGGGAGAACTCTGAGCTATTAATAACCTGTATGGCTAGTGTGTAGATATTGGTCTGAATTTGTTCTCCTTTTGTGGTGTCCAGTGGGTAACACCATCCAGGAGTAATAATTACATGTGGTGTTGCAGAGCTGAAAGAGACCTTAATAACACATACAGACCTCACTCTATAGATCAAGAAGCTGAGACCCAATAAGGAAAAAGTAATTTTCTCAGGATCTCTCAAAGAGTGAGCAACAGAGTTGGCCTAATTTATTTTAGCAATATGAATACTGTTGACATTTTATTTCCCAAATATATATATCTCCACCCCTTCCCCCTATTCCATAGACCAGACAACTACATCATGCCGGGTGTTAGATAAATAGGTTTAATCTTCTTCTTATTTATCCTAACAAGCAGATATTTAAAGGAAATTACCAACTAAGCAAGAAATTTTCAGAAAGTAAGATGTATATTTGTTCAAATATTGGCTTTTCACAGGAAAGTGTATTTTACTACTTTTTTTTTTT